TAAATTCATTTAACGAGCTTATTTTGGTTTTTCAATTTTTTTCATTTGCACATGTGCAATACATCTCACGGTTAAATTATTTCAGTGATAATCGATTGAAAGTGATCAGTGTTGTGCACTGGTTTTTTTTGCATCATTACTTGCAGTAAATGGCGAAAATATGGCGCAATGTAACGAACCCATTTAACGTCACCGAAGCGTGTAATAATCTGCCCATGCACGTGCGGTTGCTTTTATTATTCAAGTTAACAGTGGGATATGTACGTTTTTATATGTACCGTTTATCGCTTTTTTCTATGATTGTATAATTGCCCCGATTAAAATTACTCAGATTATTTGTATGCGTCGTTTTTTTTGCGTACGATGTTACATTATTTATAGACTATATTCATTGTTACTTACACAATTAATTGACATTAACACAACTTTTGAAATTCAAGTTAATAATTTAATATGCATTTTATAATATGCAAATTGTTCTATACTATATTCTGTACTATACTCTACTCATTGTTCTATACAAAAATAATTAAAAATCAATCATAATATAATATAATTATTTCAATTAGATATGTTATTATTTAATATACATATTACTACATATTTATTGAAGAATAAGTAATCTTTAGATAAACATACATATATGTATGAATCATGACTAAGAGGCGAATCGAAAATCGACGGAGAAAACGTGAGAAAAGTTGATCCACGATATTCAGACTTAATCATTTTTACTGTTAATTTTCTGAAGCAGCCAACTTTCTGATAAGATTGGCCATAGATCCTCGTATAAAGTGAACGTGGGATGCACCCCGTGAGTGAAGTTAAAGCAGAGCGGCAAATATGATCATGATCAATAATACAAGACTAGACAGTGATGCTACGTTCGTAAAATCTATATGCTATAATCTTTTTTATATTAAAGCTTCAACATTTCGCTACCCGTTGCCGAAAATGTATCTTTTGCGTTGCTACGTCATCATTTTTCTCTCCGCAAGCTTTTCGATTGTTATTACTATTGAAATTAAACTCCACTTCGCTTACATCAATCTTGTAAACTGTATAATCTACCTTGAACGGGCGTTACATAATTTATTTATACAACAGTAACGGAACAGTATTGCTATGCTATAACCCACTTGGATAAACAATACAGAATTAGTTAATCGCCAAAATTCATCCACGTGAATTTTAGAGAGAACTCTGTTTCGGTTGACCAAAACCATTCCGTGTGTGTGTGTACGTATGTTTATGTGGATTACTCCAGCGCCACTCTCTACGTTGAGAGCTAAGCAGCGAAAATTGGAGATGAGTGTACGTAAGCGTGAACTGTGACGAGACGAAGCGAATGGGGAAATAATTATGTCCCTTCCTTCTTCTTTTGGACTCCCTCTAGCTCGCTTCAGTTCTGCCCGCGAGTACCGATTTTCTTCCGTTATCGATCGCGTCTCTACGCTCGACGACTTTTCTCGCATTATCACCGGGATTGTGTATTGCACCAAAAAAAATTCACTCCAACATCCTGTGAATGCGGATTTTAGAATAAATTATTAAATAAATTATATTAATAATTTTATAAAAAGGGATAAGAGTCGTCTGACAGATATAGCGGATAGATATTTTAGCTTAAAATACTAACTATTTCAGTACTAAAACAGTATTATTATATATAAATAGGGCATTTTTTCTGAACGTTACCTCCCCTCTATCCATTTTTCTTATAACTTAAAAAATTGTTAAAAATACTTAAAATTTATTTAAAAAATCAGGCTTTCCAATACCAAGTGGCATATTGACTTTGCAGATCATGTTCAAGGTCATTTCAAGGTTAATTTCGTTTATTCTAATATAAACCCTCATTTTTTACTCCGGATTCGGAAAGAACGGGAAATTCTACGTTTAAATAGGGTATTGTATGTGGAGTCGATTGGAACTCCAAGGTCGTATGGCAGTCAATTTTTCTCTTTACTAATTTTCACCCAGCTGTCAATCGATCCAAATAAGATAAGTTTAAGGAAATACCGCTTCTATTATAGATTCCACTTAAATATTTAATATATAAATATCAAAAACAAATAATCAAAAAATTTGATAGGAATAGAGCATTAAAAAAACACTACCCTAAATAGTCATTTTTATTTTATTATAAACTATTATTTAAAGATAAATTCACTTATTTTACTATAATCACAATATCCACACGTCAATAATATATTCATACTCTATATCAACTCTATATTAACAGCATAGCATAATCTCAAGGCATCAGTACGAGGTCTGTTCAAAAAGTATCCCGAATTTTGTATGTTTTCAAAAATTATTTATTTATTCATGAATATCTATTTTATCTCCTTCAAAGTAATTCCCCTTAGATATAATGCACTTGTGCAAACGTTTTTTCCAATCCTCGAAGCACTTAAATATCATTTTTTGTGATCTTGTTCAGCTCCTCCTTCGATGCAATCTTTATCTCCTCAGTCATAGCGTAGCCTCATCCTTTCATGGGCCTCTTCAGTATAGGGAACGGCAAAAAGTCAGAGGTGGCCAGGTCTGGGGAATACGGTGGCTGCGGCACCATTACTGTGTTGTTTTTGGCCAAATATTTGCGCACAAGCAACGATGTGTGAGCAGGGGAGTTATCATGGTGCAAAAGCCAGTTTTTGTTCTTCCACAAATCCGGACGTTTCTGGCAGATTGCTTCGCGCAAATTGCGCATAACTTGCATGTAATATTCCTTATTGACCGTACTATCTTGTGGTAAGAACTCATGATACACCACGCCTCTGTAATAGAAGAAAACTATGAGCAAAACCTTCGCGTTCGACCGAACTTGGCGCGCTTTATTCGGTTTTGGCTCATGCGGTAGCTTTCATTGAGACGATTGAGCTTTGAGCCATGATTAATCATCAGTTATGATCCTCTGGAGCACATTTAGGTCGTCACGGACCGAGTCCAACATCTCCCGAGCAATGTTAACGCGATGCTGTTTTTGGTCGAAAGTAAGTCGAAATCGATTCATGCCCAAATCATTGGTTAAAATAGAATGGCATGAGTCAATCGATATATTTAGATCCTCAGAAACTTCTCTAACGGTGATTCGACGATTGGCCAATACTATTTTTTTCACTTTATCAATGTTTTCGTCTGTTATTGACGTGCTCGCGCGTCCGGCACGTTATTCGTCGTTCATATCTTCTCGGCCCTCTAAGAACATTTTGTACCACCGATAAACGTTGCTTTGGTCCAAGGTAGCTTCACCATATGCCACAGTCAACATTCGGAATGCGTCCGCGCACTTTATTTTGTTTTTCACACAAAATTTGATACAGATTCTTTCATCCATTTTTTAGAATAGGCAAAAATCGCAGACGAGCTAAAACACATCCAAGCAAAACAGCTCTCAAAAATTAACTAAACATTCAAAATGACCGAACTTGTCAGTATAAGTAAGGGACATGAGTACCAACATAACGCTACAAAAAAATTAAATTTACGTAGCCCGCGGAAATTCAAAATTCGCGATACTTTTTGAACAGACCTCGTATATTAATCTCTTCATTGGTGTTTTTACTAGTAAGTAGTCTTTCTTAGGTGTATATTAGAAATTGTATCAATATATATTTAGACATTTTCTTAATGTACGCCATAGTGTTTCTATATCAATACAGCTTTCATCTCTATTTCATAAATAGATAAATTCTTTACAGTCTATTGATATAGCGTTTCTTATTATATTAAGTATTATCAAATTTTTAAATGAATTGATTTGTAAAAAATACAAAATTACGTTTCACTATTTTAAACGGTTGCGAATGAAAATGCTATCAATTATGTTACCTCCATTTATATCTGCGCATTAGATGCGAACACTATTTTACTCTATTTTTAATAAATATAAAATCTTAATTCCTGTTTCTCTACGTAGCAATTATAATAAAATTAGTTAAACGTAAGCTCCATTTTTCACTCTCAATGATAAAATGCTTGTTTTAAAGTTTCAAAACTGAATTTACGTGTGATTCAGACCTATGATGCTTTACATACAACAACGTGAATTTCAAAAAGAGTGTAGAAATGCATGCTACGAGCTATTAAAAAAGCGAATATTCATCTACATATATTTTTAACAGTAATATCTATCTTCTGTATTATCGTTACTCCTTATAAAATAATGAGTTTCATAATGATAAGATAGAAACTCGTCAATTTGAGATATGTATATTTTCACCATATTTAATAGATTAAAAAATATGTTGATCAATGAGGGAAAGCAGGACAGTAAATAAATTTACTCCTTATTTTTTAGCAACATTTTGTCTGCCGTCTCGTTGATTTTACCAGATTTCTTGAACAAAAAACAAGCCAACCATATTGCTCAAGTTGAAACACAGATTATTGCGCAACAATAAATCAAATTAACGTTAACCTTTACCTGGTCACTTGTTATCGAACTATATGGAAACTAGAGTATGTCTCTCATTACCAGTTAAAACTGAATTGAGAAATCATAACCGTTTGTTTTTATTAAATTAAAACTCATGAGGTCATCAAAATTGCTGACGAAACATTGCTGAGTAAAAAGGAGTAAATTTATTTATTGTCCTGCTTTCCCTCAATAATCAACAGATTTTTCAATCTAAGAAACTTAATTAAGTTTTCATGGTATCTATATAATTAAATGAGGTCTTTTGAACGATTTAAATTGATTTAGTACAATGCCAATTTGAAATAAAATTCACGTCCCTTCCTAATTCGTATTTAAGAGTTTTTTTCGAATTCATAATAAATCGACATTTTAATATTTTATCATTTTATTAAACACCACAAATCTTCGACATGTTGTATGAATCATTTACTTATTACTCAAATAGTGAACACACAATTGATCCGATGAATTATCAGTTTATTCAAAGCTTTACAAATCAGAAATTTTTTTATATTATTTTTTACAATATTTTTGAAAATTTAATAATTCTAGTTTATTTTTCTTAGAAATAATGCTAGATATTATTAAAAATAGTGTTATCAATCCATTGTCGGTATTTAGCTACATTAGTTTGGAGATCTGGATGATTCTTATCGCCACACTTAGTTTTTGCATAATTAACAGATATCACTCCAATGACCACTGTCTTGTCTTTAACTACAGGACCTCCAGAATCTCCCTATGATATATACGAAAAACAAATTAGTTTAAACAAAATAGTATATGTGGGTATATTAATGTTTTAACAAACTATGTGAAAAGTAGAATTATCGAAATTGAAAAATCGTTCAAAAATTATAAATGCTACTTACATAGCAAATACCTCTATTATTCTTGCGATTATGAGCAGTGCAAAATACTGTATCGCTCACTTTAACTTTACCTGTATACAACTCAATACATTTTGAATGTGATAAAACTGTAACTTGAGTTTTTTTTAAGCTACGGGACGGAGTTGTAGTGTCCTAAAATAAAGCAAGTGGATTATTTAATATTTATGCACTTGGCGTTTGGTTTTAAATATCGCATATAAATGCTTTCATCAACTTAATCACAAAAATGCAAATAGTGGATACGGAAACGGCTTTGTTTGATAATGTCTAATACTACCAGAATAAATTTGTGATTAAAAAGATTACTTTTCTCGCACTCAAATAAAAATAGTAAAGTTATAATCTACTCACGGATTTTTCAACGCCCCAGCCAATGATATTAACAGTTAGGTCATTGGGTATATAATAGCCTTTTGGCACCAGTTCAGCCTTTGTAATGTATTTGTCAAATGTATAAGGACTATCGAGCTGTTTAAAAATGTTATTGATTACATATTATAGTAAATTTGGATTTATATCGATTAAAAATGGAAAAAATTGATACTTTAACGAGTACAATGTCGTTATCCCGAGGGAGTGGTCTATTATAATCTGGATTTTTGAATATTTTAATAATTCTCCGTACATTTTTATCTGCTTTTATATTTTTAAAATCTCTACTCCCTGCAACTACGCGGATATCCTTGATATTTTGTCTAAAAAATGATAGTTTTGTATCTAAGGGCACTCATTTACTTGCCATAGTAATTTAAATGAATAATTACCCAACAATACAATGTGCAGCCGTCAGAATAAAAATTTCATGTACAATGGTTCCTCCACAAAAATGGTCGTTATTTTTGGATATGTTTTGAAAAGACACCTAAAAATTAAATAAAACGGTTAATACTTTAGATTAGTTAGTGCATTACATATATGACTCATAAGTACTGCAAAAGGAAATTCATTTTTATCAACAGTTACTCCATCGACAATTGCCTCTACATCGATCATCCATTCTGAAATAGAAAATATTTTTAATTTACAAAAATTTCAACCGTAAATAATTTAATTTTCATACCTACCATTTTGAACTAACATAATGAGTAACAAAATGACACTTGGTAGAATAATCATGTTGATTGTTTGAAACTTAATAATCAGTTTCAATCATCAGTCACGTATTAGAATAAACTGAAACTCGTATATGTCTATGTATAGGGAAGTGTATCGAAAAAATTAAAGTATATATTATAACATTGTTGTTATTGTTACTTCAAGAACTGCGTTTGTTGTGAACGCTGCATCTTTGCTTAAATACATATGATAAAATATAAATGACACTACTATTATTAATTTTTATATTTATATTTCGAAAGTTTCTTATTTCAGTAATGAGTTTTTAATAGTTACATCAGTAATGAGTTTTCAATAGTTTGAACTATTTTTCAAAAATTCGAACTTTCCACACGTTGTTTCGAAAAATACTGTACCAAACGTGTGCGGAAACAAAATTCTCGTCTTACATGCCTTTCCATCGTCTTCGCTCGGGCGTTAACGGTCAGAAAAAACGCCCTATATATATTTATATTAAGAAATAAAATTTTTTAATATTTGTTTTATTTATTACATTTATAAGGTAGGATCTTTTAAACTCTCCATAATAAATTAATTTTTTTGTTAATAACAGTTGGTTGTTTCATGAAAAGCCTATGCCGATTCTAAAACACTTGTAACGTTTGATGACGCACTAAGTGTTTTATAATCAGCATAACTTATCTACTGTTGTAAGTAAATAAACAAATATAAGAAGTGGAGGAAATTCCATTAAATCAGAACTGCTAGAAATTCATTACTATCACCATTTTTTTACTTTCTTACGAACGTTCTACTAGATATGCTGCGCCGATTCTAAAACATTTCGCCTCCGGAACCGCTATTTCTGTTTTAATCTGAAACAGACTGATTTTTCGCTATTCTGTGATTTAATATTCATAATTTTATTATTTAATATTATTTTAATATTAAATTATTAAATTATAAATATTAAATTTATCTAATAAATAAATAATTTTTATTAAATAAATTTTATATTGAATAAATTTATGATACTATGGTGCGCTCGCTTGTTCAAAATCAAATAATAAGCTTTGAACTTTTATGCATTTAACTGATGATTTTTTATATGTATTAATAAAATTAACTATTTGCGATGCATATAAGACACAAAGAATTATAACTAAATAAAAGAAAAATTTTTTATAATACAGGATAGTAGTAAAAAAGAAAAACTTCATTAATTAATTTTCGCGAATTATTTAAATATATTTTTTCAGAAAATGAAGATGACATCCAACAAAAGATATACTTGATGGAAAAGTCAAGAAGTAGTCATATTAGAATAAAAACTAGAGTTGAAACTACATCACCAAGCCTACTGATTACTGATAACGATGACGAAGTGAGTGCAGAATTTTCATCCTAAGAACTTGAAAAATCAGTCAAGAAAAAAGGTACGAAGACAATACAAGAAGCAAATAAGGTGTATAAAAATGATTTCTCGCCTGTGCTTGAGCAAGCTGTACTATCATCTCATCCTCCCTATACTAGACTCATGTAGCCAATGTTATTCATTCCAGAAGTTATAATTAATACAGATTCTGATTTAACAAATAAAGCATGTACATCTTCATGTATTGGTACAATAGTAATAAAGAAAAATTGCCCGATCATATACTCATCAGATATAGAAAGTGATAGTAATATCACGGAAAGAAGTTCGAGATTAAGAACAATACTTAAATCCACATCCGACTCCAAAACAAGGTCAAAATCTAGATCCAAATCCATAATAAGGCTATTAAGATCCAGTTCCATTTTAATTTCAATGTCAGAAGAAGGGCATTATATATCTGACAGCGAATCAAGAGTGGTTTCAATGAAATCAGATGTAGATATTGATCAGGGTATATTAAATTAGCCACCTGAAAATGTGAAAATTCAAATAAATGATACGCTTCAAGCAATACAACAGTACATTTTTTGCTTACGTAGTAAGTTAAAAAGCACGAAGAACAAAAGGAAAAAAAATGTTTACTTAGAAGGTAAATATGATATGTCTACGTTAAATAAAGACATCATTCATTTATTATCTATTAATATTTTTTAGAACCTTCTGAACAAGTAAAATTGGCTGATGACGATGATGTAGATTCAGAGAGTCCGGATGACGTTATTTTATTTGCAGAATTAAAGCACTTAGGAGAACCTTCAATAGAAAAGATGGTAATATATTCTGTTCTCATATCTTATAAACTGATTTAATACTACTTATTTATTGAAGTCACTAAATTGTTTAAGCAAATACTTTGAAATATATACATTCGTTATGGACGTATCACGTACGCTTTCTCTATTCGATTTTTTTTTTGATAAACAGAATAGATTATTTTCATAGTTATTTTCGTTTTTATGTTCGTTAAATAATTTTTAAATTGATGGTATAGGTTTGCGTTGGGTCAGACAAACACTGTAGCCAAGTTTATAGTATATGGGAAAAAACATAGAAGAAAATCATCTCGAAATATTAAAAATATTTGTTCAACCATTTATACGAAAAGCATGAGCTAACCAAAAAGTGTATATTAAAAGAATCTACTAAAGTTATTGTGAACAATAAAAAAAGAGAGGAGACAAAGTGGAATGAATTAAGAACATTGAAAAGTAATATAAATATTATTTAATATATGTACTCTCGTGCTAACTATATGCGTATCATTTTTGCAATCATTAAAATGCATTGACATGTTTTCAGTTCTTTTGATGAAACGATGCAATGGAATGGATCCGACCAGAAAATTAGCGGAAACGTGAGGAAAAATTATATATATCCAGGAAACTAGATGAGTGAGGCAAAAAAATCTTCGCTGTATATTCCAACTATATTATAATTAATGTTTAAATATTGTATTTCTTATTCATACATATAGTTAATTTTTAAGCTATTAATTTTCATTGAAGTTTTATAAATTTTTTAAATATAAAAAATAATAATTTTTTCTAAATTTATGTTATTGTAAATGATCATTATTTTATTATATTAAATTAACGTATTGTTAATATGGTCGATAACATTAAATTTTTAGTTTATTTTTAAAAATTCCTTATGGAATACCATATGGGGTTTCAGAAACAATTAATTTTTTTGGATCTCATATCGGATCATATACATTGGATTTTCGATCGAAATCCCATAAGGGATCCAATATGGGATCCTATGTAGAATCCCATATGAGATCCCACGTCAGATTCTATGTAGGATGCCGTGTATGATTTTCCTACCGGGCCATATTGAAGTGAAAATGCTAAATAGATAATGTTTTTTTTAAATTGAAAATAAAGCTTTCAATTTAAATAAAATTTACATAAAAGTTTATTGCAAGAATATTGTACAATACACAGAACAATAAGTAACCAATCAAACAAGCTGAAAAAGTTTTATCATTGAAAAAAAACAGCTTTACAAAAACTAGCTATACAGCTTAATGTTCAGTCTAAATATTGTTTGAATATAATTACCTGTTCATTGACACATACAGATAATATTGTAGTAACTGGAAACTGCATCCATCGAAGTCAAGAAAGGACTTATACAGCTCAAGAGTACTAAAGGAGGTTATAAAGCGATTCCGGATAATCCTATAATCTAGCTAGCGGCTCTTCATCAGATTATGACTTCGTTGAATCCCTCTATCTGTCTGTCTCTTTCTCACACACACACACACACACACACACACACACACACGCGCGCGCGCGCGCGCGCGCGCGGGCATACACACACATTCTATCGCGTATCCAGTCTTTTTTCGCAAGAAAGTATATTTTATATTGTGTTAGCCATGATGACATTGCAAATACAAATAGAAATGACACCAATATCGTATCAGTTGACGAAGTTACCAGAACTTTCATCCTAATTTACGCTCTTGTTATCTACCGTTTCGTAGATATGCTTTACTCATTTGCCAAACATTACCTTATAGCAGTTTCGTTCGTAATGTGTCTTGTTCTTCTCAGCATTCTCTGTTTCGATTAAAAAAATATATAAGAGTGTTCTTTTCTTTATCTAAAATTGGAATGAAAGAAGCAATCAGAGAAAAAATCCGCAGCGTGATATCAAGTTAATGCTTACCTTGTTCTACGTTGAAAAGCTAACTATGTAAAATATCAACAATATGTAGATTACTTAATATGATTATATTTCTCCGTTCAAATCAGATATTTCATACACACACACACACACCACACATATACACGCGCGCGCGTATAATATGATCCAATGAGAATTGATCAAAAAATCAGCAATCAAACAATTTTTTTTTCTTAAAACGCTCGAATGCTTGATTTCCAACAGCCAATTGTGAGTTGAATAACAATCTAGTCAACGTAGCTATCCTCAAGAGTCAATGTGGTCGTGTCCTAAGTTCTGGCTCTCTTAATTATGAATGGATTTCTGTATTAGCGAGTTTCTTGTATGGAAGTAACTAGACTACGAGATATTAACAGTTAGTAAATGAAATGGATGCATGAAGCAATTGAAAATAATTGAAACCCTAATAAGCAGCATAAATTCCAAAAAGCCAGATGCAATTTTAAAAATTTTAGAACACTCGTAGACAGCTGAGAACAATCTGAGCGTTTGTGTGATTTTGTTTGACTCTTTTTCCGAGTCTTTACGACTGTCGACACCGAATCTACTTTCGCTCTTTCCCTCTGGCTTCTTCTATCTCGAGTTTTCAAGCGCTTTCATAACTCTTACAATTTAATTTGTAGAGATTCAAGACAACTTTATTTTCTACACTGGGCTAGCTGATTCTTGACAGAAAGAAAATGATAGAAGCGAAATTAAAAAATTAATTTATTCATAATCTCATGACCAAGGGAAAGCAGATCAGCTAATAATAGCGAATGAGAAGCTCTTGAGCTGCTGAGCACGCCAGCAGCAGTAATGCCTAATTAATTTGTCGCTTGATTCGGAAATACGCATCGACTCATCTCAAAATCCTGCCGTGTGAGATTATTGCTGCTACACTGCTGCTGACTGATTGTTGCAATTGCTCAATCGACGCTGAACATGT